ACTAGACTGGGAGTCAGGAGACTGGAGGCTGTGTCCCACCTGTGCCAGCAATTTAGCCAGTCACCCTTTAGGAGTCTTAGTTGCTAATCCTTGTCTGGCTGCATTTAGAGAAAGTGACTTTGATACACATGACTATGTGGCAGAGAAGGGGATGTTCTGAGGGGGCAACAGCTGTAATCTGAAGCCCTGGGGTCTTGAGCCACCAACCTGATGTCCCATGTTCCCAGCCGCTTGCCCAGGAGCTGGGCCTGGAGGCAGGAGGCTGTCTATCCAGGTGGGCTTCAACTCACAGCTCCCCACTGGGTATCTGAGCCCATCCTGCCTAGGCTAAAGCAGTGGAACCAATCTCTCTCCTTCTCTAGACCTCAGTTCCCCCTTCTTTGGAATGGGGCACACAAAGAGGGATGGATCAGATAGATGGTTCCTGAGGGCCATGGAACTCTAACATTCTAAGACTCTGACCACGACCAGGCCTTCCTCCTCCTTCCTGGGGCACTTTATTTATTCAAAGCATCCCTGGCCTGAGACTGGCTGTCCAAGCACTCCTCCTCCATGTACCATGCCTTACCTCCACCCTCATCTAGCTGTTATTTCTGTCCAGTTCCTTCCCCACCTCTCCCTACTGCCTTCTCAGGTGTCCATGGCACATCCTAACCCAATCCCACGGCTGCTCCTAATCCTGTTCTTCCACCTCATAGTCAATCTCAGAAATCCCAAACCAGAAACAGGGGTCAGGGGGTCATCTATCCAGCCCCTAACATCTAATCACCATGTTTTGTTGATCCTTGGTTAAGTGAATTCCAAATCCATCTGTTTCTATTGATCCCCAGGCTCACCCAGGTATGCACATAACTCAGACAGGTGGTAGAGTCCTGGTGTGGGGCTCTAGGATCCGCACTGGGCTGCTAACTGAAAGGTCAACAGTTCAAACCCACTAGCTGCTCCTTGGAAACCCTCTTCATCAGGGTCGATATGAGTCGGAATCAACTTGATGGTACTTCACAACAACAGAGAGGTAGTAGAACAAACAGGGTGGCAAAGAACACAAATGTTGGAGTTACCCTGCCTCCATTCAAATCTCTGCTCTGCCTGTACCAGCTCTGCACCCCAGAAAAGCTTTTAAGCTTTAGTTCCCCCACCAATAAAACGGGGTGATCACGATATCTGAGGAGCAATGAATGTGCTTATGAGAGAACCTGGTGTGCACAGTCCATGTTGGCTTTGTGGCTTTCCTGTGTGAATGCAAATGCATGTATGTTCAGGGAGTACAGGGTCCTGTGTGCTAGTACTTTATGGATGTTGCATTTGCACACCTATGTTGGTATGGGGTGTGATTTGTTTCACATGTGTGTTTCTCAGATGGGCAGGGGGGCAGGCACGAAAATAGCAGTCCATGTTGTGTATGTGCTGAGCATGAGTAGGAGCTGTGTGCAAACGTGGTTCTGTGGGCATGTGCGCACGTTGCATGCCTATGAGGGGTTGGATACACAAATGAGCTGTGAGCGAGCATGAAGGCAGGAGTCTGTGTCGTGTACACGTGCTAGCTGTGTTCAGGACCCACCCCCCAGGTCTGCCTGTGTCGTGGGAGCCTTGGGACCCCGCAGGAGGGAAGCTGCTGCTGGCGGATGTGGCCAAGATGGGCTGGATTTATTTAGATTAAGACGGTGGGAAATGAGTGGGGACGAACGAACATGTGCTGGAAGGAAGGAGGGGAGGCTGCGTTCTGAGAATGACACCTCTTCGTGCCTGCTTCCCTGGACTTGGGGTTCTCACTCCACTCCTGGAATCAGGGTCTTCTCTCTGCCCTCTGGATTTGGGGGTCCTCACTCTGCCTTCCTGAACCTGATATCCTTTACTATATCTTCCCTGGATCTGGGGTCCTCACTATGCCCCCTAATTTAGAAATCCTACTCTGTTTCTCTGGACTTGGGGTCCTCACTCTGCTACCCCAGGGGGTCCCTCAGACTCACTGGGGGAGCTGGGCCATTCTTTACTCTTGGGGCCTCCCACTCAACCTGGCCAAAATGAGAGGCTGACCTTGGAGGTTTATTGGCTTGCCACATTCGCCTCATAGGCAAAGGGGGGGTGTCCCAGAGGGCCCCCATCTCTCTGCTTCCAGGGCAGGAGCATGTAGTAGTAAGTGGGGGTGGGTGCCTGATTCCCGACTGTGACATGCGTCTTGCCCAGGTGGTTCCCCTAAGAACTCAGCCCTCCCCCAAAAGAAGGGGTGTTGTCCAGGCAGGCTTACCTGAGCAGGCTAGGACAGCACGTGAGCTTCCTTGGGGCTGGCCACTGGGGGATAACATCAGAGATGGCCTTGAGATCATATGGGAGCTCTGGGGCCCCTCTGTTCCATCCTGATCTCTGGTCTGTTGCTTATACCTGCAACCCCTTGGGACCATTCTACTAGAAGCTGCTTGAAGGACTGTTGTCTAACTCCTAATTGTACAAATGGGTAAACCAAGGCCCGGAGAGGGGAAACAATTTGTAAAAATCCAAACAACAAGGATGTATGTGACCCAGATGAGGATAATTCCATTCATGGAATGAGATGGGTTTATGGATTCTCATGTGACTCCAGCCTCAGGAATGTATCCCCCACTTCTGCCCAGCCCCCCTCTCCTCTAACCATCCCCGTGAGAATATGATGACTACAACCTTTTCTCTGGTTAGTCAAAAAGGCTCCTGAGGACGACGCATCCAAACCTTTCTGTGTATGGACAGGGAAACAGACCTAGAGAGGACTGGAGATTGCTTCACTCATGGTGCCTCAGAGACATCTGAGGAGAGAGCAGCAATGCTTGTGTCAGAGAGAGTGAAGCCAGTTCAGAACCTCGGAAGTCTGTCTACACCCGCCCTAAGGCCTATCCTCTGCAGGAATTCCTTTGCCCAGCCAAAAACTGCCTTTCGCTGTGTGCCTGGGGCCTGATTCTATCCCTCTCTGGGCCTCTGCAGCCTGTTTAAAGAGGGTCCCTCTCAGTTCAAAGTCTCAGGGAGTCAGCAGAAGAGGGCCTGAAGTGGGGACCAGAGTCCTACTAGAGCCTGGACTGGGGGCTGTACACCCCAAGGGCCCAGCCCACACAAACCAGCCTTCCAGAGTCAGGCGAGTTGCAGTGACCTCCCGTCTCCCGGCCAGTCGGCCAAATTCCTCCATTAGAATAATAAACAGTGTGGCCAGCCAGGGAGGCTGGGAGGGGAGGGGCAGGAGGCTGAAATCGCCCCCTCCCCCAGCCTGGGCTGCTAATGATTTTCCTTGGCGGAGATCTCTGGCAGGAAGAGGGGAGCGAGAGGGGCACCCATCAAGGGGCAGATGGGCCTCTGTGGGGGCTGCTGGCTCCACCTCGGCGAGGCTCCCTCCTGCCCAAGGAGCCTGGCGCCCAGCTGCAGGAGATGAGCAGGAGGAACCAGAGTGGGGAACGCTATGGAGGGGTAGCTCAAAGGTTGAGCGTTAAGTCTGGAGCAATTAGGAGAAACGAGGGGGCCCTTAGGCAGGTAGTTCTGAAGCTAGGGGAAGAAAGAGGTGGAGAGGAGCAGATTTACTTAGAAAACTTCTCAGGTGGTCAGCTGATCTGGGATCGGTGTCCATAGGCCCCACTACTATGGGTACATATGGCCCTAATAGGTGGGACACTAGGAGCCCTTGTGATGCAGTGGACTAAGCATTGGGCTGCGAACAATAAGGTCAGTGGTTCAAACCCATCAACTTCTCCACAGGAGAAAGATGAGGCTGTCTGCTCCCATGCAGATCTGTAGTCTCAGACTCCCTAAGGAGAAGTTCTACTCTGTCCCAGAGGATGCCTCTGAGTCCAAATCAGCTCGTTGACAGTGGATGGGAGGTGGGACACTCACTCATCGCCACACCATTTTGAAAGCTGGTGACTTGAGGCCATTGGGGTAACCGTGGCCATACTGGGGGCTCACTCTGGCTTGCCAGTCCTGGATTGGATACTAAGAAAAAGTGAGATGGGAGGGGGTCAGCTGGTCCTGGCTGGGCAGCACTTGGGAGACAGCTGCCCACAGCATCAGAGGCTCCTTGTTGCCTTGTCACATGGTCATGCTCCACCTTTATTGCTCTGTGACCCCATCCACACTGCCCTCCTTCCCATTGGAGCTGCTGGCAGACCCCTGCAATACCTGGCTATTATCTGGGTTATCTGGGAGTGTGGCTGTCAAGGGCAGAGATAGAACAAAGCACAATTCAATCTGCCTCCCTCTCTGTGTCCCTGCTTCTGTCTCTTCCTTCCTCTGTCACTGTGTGTTTCTATGCATCCTCTTTCTCTGTGTCCCTCTGTGTCTATCTCTGTCTGCCTCCCTCATTCCCATCTCTTTGTTTCACTCTCACACAAGCTCTGCTATATAACCTCAGAGCCTCAGTTTCCCCACTTTTGAGGAGGATGGGGAGTTTGGATTCAGTGGTCTCCAAGGACGTTCATAATTTTGCTGCTCTGTGGGGCCGGCCCCTGCCCCTCTCCCCTGGGCCTCCCTGCACAGCTCTGGGTTGAATAAGGGGGGCCAGACGTTGGGGGGGGTGGCCCCCTACACATTCCACAGCCTGGACTCCCCCTACTTCCCTTCCCACTGCCGCCTCCATTTCCTGTTGTGCTTGTGGTGCTGTGGGAGTCCGCTGGGTTCTGGTTTGCCCCCTCCTTCTCCCTCAGGCCTTTCATCACACTTTCCCAAATATTTGTCCTGGCAGATAAGAGCCTGGTATTGGAGCTGTCACCAGAGGACTGGCTGTCAGAACTGGCAGGCCCCTGGACATCATCCAACCCAACCTCCCCCACCCCACTGTACATTCAGGGAAACTAAGGCCCAGAGAGGGGACAGGGCACTTGGTCAAGGCTGAGGTCCCTGGAGAGGGGAAGGGGCTTGTGGTCATGAGTGCTCTGTCAGCCTTGAGATGCGGGAGACTTCTGACTCCAGTCCTACAGACATAGAGCATGGGTAGTTCTGCAGTTGCTAAGACGGGTTCTGACCCCTGTTTGACTCTGCAGGACAACATGAAGCCTTCAGGTGCCATGCCAGCAACAGTCTTCAAAGGTAGGTAGGCTGGGGTGGGACACGGGCTCGGGGACCCACTCGTTAGCACCTGGAGCTGGCAGGGTGGGAGCACACTAGCCCAGAGCGTGGGAGTCCAGAAACATCACTCTGCACCTGAGTATCCATTTTGAATGGGACTGTGTAGAGGTCTCCTTCCACGCCCACCCTTCAGGGCAGGAACCTTCAGGGAGCCATCAGCCCAAATCCTTTGTTTGGATCTCCAGCTCCCCCTCTACCCCCTCCTCCCACCCCCACCAACTGTCCCCAGCCCAGCCCCCTGCTGTCATTCCTGTCTCTCCTCAGCACTCACAGGTATCAATACCTGGTTCTGGTCTGCATACAGGACCTTCTCCTGGACTTCCCGAGTCCCCTTATGGCCTGGATCCCTTGTAAGGCTGGGCTTCTGGTCTCATCCACACCTTTTCTCTCACTCCTTGCCCAGAACATGCCCATGGCTCCCAATGACTGGCTAGCTGACCAGCCAATCAAGGACCAGCCAAATGTCTGCTGGACAGACTGTCAGGTTGTCTGGCAAGATGTCTGATCAATGGACTGAAGACCTACCTACCTGGGTTCTTTCCTATATGCATCACCAAGGAGCTCCCCTTGGCGAGGCTGGGAGACTTGACTTCTAAAATCATTCTCCTAGGGATTCTAAGATGATTCAGCAATCACATAACAACTATCCTCCTCGAGCCCCCGGCACACGCTCCTACCACTGTCCACTTCCCCAAGGTTACCTTGGACCCTGGAGAAAATCCTGGGCAGCTGCTGGGGGAAAAAAACCTAAAAAAACTCAGAAAGTGACCTGGGAAGTAATTCAGGAACTGGAGGCATGAAAATTGCTTCCCGAGGATATCCTGATGCCTATGGCCTGCACACAGCACTGTTAAAGGATCCAGAGCCTGGGGGTCTAAAGAGACTGAGATTGGGGGCCAGGGAGACCAGAAGAGTCCCTGGGGGTTGGTACTGGGCAAGTAGGCCTCAGGGCCATGGGTAGAGGGTTCTAGTCTGTTTGAGCACGGCAAGACTTGGATCTGTGCATATATGACCTCCCGTTATGGTCACCTCTGGGGAGCAGTCCTCAGGCCTCAGGCGTAAACTGCTAATCTCTCCTTTCCCAAAGGCCAGTTGCTTTTGCTGTTCCTACTGCTTCTGCTGGGACCACAGATCTCCCAGGGCCTGGTCATTACACCTCCGGAACCAGAACTTGTCCTCAATGTCTCCAGCACCTTCACTCTGACCTGCTCGGGCTCAGTTCCAGTGGTATGGGAACGGTTGTCCCAGGAGCCACCGCAGGAAATGACCAAGACTCAGGATGGTAACTTCTCCAGTATGCTGACGCTTACCAATGTCACAGGGCTAGACACAGGGGAATACTTCTGCACGTACAATGGTTCCCATGGGCTGGAGCCCAGTGAGAGAAAACGGCTCTACATCTTTGTGCCAGGTAAGGGCCCCTGGCCCCTTTTCAGCAGGAACCTGGGGTGGGGGTGGGGGGCCACTCAGAGAGGGCTTTGTTGTTGTTGTTGTTGTGTGCCATGGAGTCGGTTCCAACTCATAGTGACCCTGTACAGGGTTTCCGAGGCTGTAAATCTTTACAGGAGCAGACAGCTTCATCTTTCTCCCGCGGAACAGCTGGTAGTTTCGAACTGTTGACCTTGAGGTTTGCAGCCCGATTCGTAACCACTACGCTACCAGAGAGGGCTTTAGTGACACAGTGAAGAGATCCTAGAAACATGGCTGAATCAGGGAACCCAGCCTGACTCAATCCAGGAGTATGCTCACTTCTACTTTGGGTCTGTCTGGGTTTCTGTCTGTTTCCCGCCAGTTCACCCCACCCCTGGTTCCCAATAATCTCACCTAGGTTCCAGTCTGTTCTCCTTTGGTCCCCACATCCATTCTACATGCTTCATGTCCCAGCTGCCCTCAACTTGTGGCTTGTCTCCTTTCCCTGGTATTATCAATATCAAATGTTAGAGTTGGAAGGGACTTCTGACAGCATCCTTAGTCTGTGAAGGAGATCAAAGGCCCAGAGAGGGGAAGGGACTTGCTCAAGGTCACACAGTGATTCATGGCATGACCAGGTGTTTGCTAACCCTCAGTCTTGTTTGTCCCCACTCCCGGCAGATCCCACCATGGACTTCCTCCCTACAGACTCTGAGGACCTATTCATCTTTCTCATGGAAGTATCTGAGATAACAATTCCGTGTCGGGTAACAGACCCAAAACTAGTGGTGACATTGCACGAGAAGAAAGTGGACATCCCACTCCCTATCCCCTATGACCACCAACGTGGTTTCTCTGGTATCTTTGAGGACAAGACCTATGTCTGCAAAACCACCATTGGGGACAAGGAGGTGGATTCTGACCCCTACTATGTCTACAGCCTCCAGGGTGAGCCCCTCTTTCTGACCTAGTGCTCAGCAGAGAAAAGAATAACCCTTCATAGAGATAGAGCTTTTTACAGTTTTATAAAGTGTGCAACTCTGCTTTTTTCATTGGATTCTCACAATAGCCTTGCAAAGGAGGTAGTGTTTTCCCCATTTTACAGATGAGAATACTGAGGCTGAGAGAGAGGATAGTTAGCGGCACAATGTTTTAGTAACAGAGATGGCCTGTACAGGTTTTGGAGCCAAGTGGTTGGAATCCTTGCCATTCAAGTAATTTTGCACAAGGCACATAATCTCTCTCTGCCATCTTCTTCTTCTGGAAATGGGGATAAGAATTGCTTCCTACCTTGGAGTCCTGGTGTGGCAATGTAGGATAAACACTGAACTCCTAACTGAAAGGTTGGCGGTTCTTACCCACCAGCCACTCCTCAGAAACCTTAAACCAGGTTGCTGTGAGTTGGAACTGACTCAACTGCACTTAATAACAACAACAACTCTAAGGGGTGATTGTGAACCTCAAATAGGACAAAACATGAAAAGTACCTGACACATGGTATGTACTTAATACATTTCTCTTATAATTAGATCCCCAGAGAGTACTTAATTTTCTGTTGTCCCTTCTAAAATGTCAGTTTCATGAAGAGAGGACTTTTGTCTGTTGTACTCAATGCTATAGCCCCACCCATTGTCCTTGCATTGATTCTGAGTCATTGTGAACCTGTGGGACAGAATGGTACTGCTCCAACATATTTCTAAGGCCCAATGGTGGGGGTGGTTATGTGCCAGGGAGTCGGTTCCAACTCATAGCGACCCTATAACAGGGTTTCCAAGGCTATAAATCTTTACGGGAGCAGAAAACCTCATCTTTCTCCCGTGGAACAGCTGGTAGTTTCGAACTATTGACCTTGCAGTTCGCGGTTTGCAGCCCGATTTGCAACCACTAAGCTACCACAGCTCTTTTAAGGCTGAATAGATCTTCACAAAATCCCATGGAATGACTGGAGGGTTCAAATTGCTTATCTTTCAGTTAGCAGCTCAATGCTTAGCTAACTGAGTCTGTAGTATTCCTTGCTTAGAATTGTTCTTGACTTATTAGGTGATCACTAAATAGGAGGGACTTTCAAAAAGTTCTTGGAAAATGGAATGAAAAGGTAATGGATTTGAGGGGATTGCAATCATTGAGATAAAACTGCATGATTTGTTGAATGTGAAACTGATGATCTGCTCTGTAAATCTTCACTCAATTCACAATAAAAAGGTGTTTTGTTCTTTAAAAAACAACAACAAGATAGTGTAGTTTTTCTGTGAACTCCTTGAAGCCCCCTTGTGTTTGTTAAATGAAATCTCCTACATCAGCCATTCCTTCCCTCCCTGGGTGCTGGTGGTTGGTGGCAACCTCCTCAGCCCTAAGCCAATCTCTCTCCACCAGTGTCATCTATCAATGTCTCGGTGAACGCAGTGCAGACTGTGGTTCGACAGGGCGAGAACATCACTGTCATGTGCATTGTGACCGGAAGTGAGGTCGTCAACTTTGGGTGGACATATCCCCGCATGGAGGTAATGGTGGGCTAAGGGTTGCAGGAGGGGTCAGGCAGGAATGGACATATGGGATTGGTAGCCTGACTTCTTTTAGACCCGCTGATTCGAGGGCCTGTTCCACCTGTCCTTACAGAGTGGGCGGCTGATAGAGCCGGTGACGGACTTCCTCATAGATGTGCCCTCTCACATCCTGTCCATACTGCACATCCCCAATGCCGAGCTGGGCGACTCAGGGACCTACCTCTGCAATGTGTCGGAGAGTGTGAACGAGCATCAGGATGAAAAGGCCATCAATGTCACTGTGGTTGGTGCGTGCCTTGGGCATGGTCCTAGTCCCCAATCTAAGGTGTATCCAGTCCCTGTTACAAGATAACGTCAGTCACACCCCAGACCAGTGTCAATCAAAGACCAGTGTCAGCCCCCAAACCCCACTTTAATCCTAGTTTAGACTCTGGCTCCAATCTGATTTCAAATTCCAATTACCATCCCAAATCCAGAGAGCCGCATATCCAACTTCAATCTCAATCAAATACAACTCACCTCAGCTACAATCGCAAATCCGAACACGCCCATTGCTTCTTGAAACTTACAACTACAGTCTCAAATATAGCACCAATATCAACCCGGCATTCACCCTCACCTTAGACTCAAGTCCCAACGTCAATCCCAGCTCTGCCAACCTCATTGCAGGTTCATTGCAAGTTTGTAGGTTCGCAGGTTCGGTTCTACAGTCTGAGGCCATGCCCTGTGAAGACTGAGGTACTTTAGCATTCAGTTGATGCCTCCGTATAGCCCTCCAGAGGCATTGTCCCATTGGTGCCCTGGCATAGCCCCACCCCTGACTGCAGCCTCTTGCAGAGAGCGGCTATCTGCGACTTCTGGAAGAGTTGGACGATATACAATTCGCCGAGCTGCACCGGAGCTGCACACTACGGGTCATGTTCGAGGCCTACCCACCTCCCACCGTCGTATGGTTCAAGGACAACCGCACCCTGGGTGATCACAACACTGGCGAAATCTCCCTGTCCACGCGCAATGTGTCCGAGACCCGGTGAGCTGCCTGCCCACTCTATTCTTGAAGCCATTGTGCTCTGCAGCCGCTGTGTATCACACGGCCTTCAACAAACCCAGTCCTGCCTTTCCTGAGAACCAAATGTGTGTTCAGGCATTGGGCAAAGTGTTGGACATGCCACAGAGGCCAGCAGACACAACCCCTCCCACCCTGAGACTCCGGTCTAGTGGAGGAAACAAACAAGAGTCCAGATGTTTAATTATCTTGTGATGGGTGGAGACAGCAAGAGGGCAGCCAAGGAGAAGGCGGCCGGATGATTCTGAAGGAGTGTGCCAGGCAGACCACTGCCACATCTGAATGTAGCCCTGAGGCTGGAGAGAAGCAGTTGGATGTGGGGCTAGGATATAATAGGATAAAGTGTTATCAGGAGTTTCTGAAGGGGTGAGATGTAGATAGACAGGAAATGACGCCATCAGTCCTCCCTCTTGGCTCATGTAGCTGCCCATGGGTAGGGAATTAGGAGACTGTGGATTTGAGATCTAGTGCTGGTACTGATACCCATGTGACCCTGGCAAGTCCCTTCCCCTCCCTGGGTCTTGCTTTCCTGTCTGCACAATGAGGACACTGTCAACTCTGACAGCAGGATCCCTGGCTTTGTCCTCTTGCTCCCTAGGTATGTGTCAGAACTGACACTGGTGCGGGTGAAAGTGGCGGAGGCAGGCCGCTACACCATGCGGGCCTTCCACGAGGACGCTGAGGCCCAGCTCTCCTTCCAGCTGCAGGTCAATGGTGAGAAGCCCATCCTGTTCTTCCCACCCCCTGCCCTTCCCTGTCCCCATTCCCTCTCTCTTCTTGCACTGTTCAACCCCCCAAGAAGGAGGATGAGAGGAAGTGCAGATTCAGGACACTGGGCTTTTGGCCTAGCCCTGACAGTGCCACACTGCTGTGAGGTCCTGACTGCCCCCTCTCTGGACCTCAGTTTCCCCTTCTGAGCAAAGAGACCCTCAAGCAAGATTGGTGTTTCCAAAGCCTCTGGTATGCATGTAGTACAACCACAGTTTTTCCATCTCACATGCCACTCATTCTAAAGTGTTACTTCAATAGCTCTTTACTGAGCAACTACAATATGACAGGCCTCTTCAAGACTGTTGAGGGCCTATGTGTAGCTTGAATCCTAGTGGGAGATCAGCAAATTATGTAGAAGATTAGAAAGTACCAAGTGCTGTGGAAGACATAAAATGTGCGGCAGGAAGGTGAGCATGCTAGCACAAGGAGGTGGTGAGGGTAGCATTTTTAAATAGGGTGGTCAGGGCTGGTCTCATTGAGAAGATGACATCTGGAGTGGTGACTTCAGGAAGTCAAGGCATTAGCCACATGAATATTTGGGAGAAAGGTACCCCAGGCAATTCAAAACCAAAACTAAAAAGCTAATTCATTTCTATCAAGTCAATTCCCAACTCAGTGACCCTATAGGAGAGAGTAGAACTGCTCTCTAGGGTTTCTGAGATTGTAAATCTTTATGGGAACAGACAATGGATGGTGGGTTTGAACCACCAACCTTGTAGCTAGCAGCCCAATGACCAGCCCACTATGCTACCAGGGCTCCTTAGATAGTGCAAAGGCAGAAGTAAATAAATGTTGGAAGAATGGCAGAAAGTTGGTGTGTCTGGAACAGAGTGAAGGGAAGAGTGGTGGGAGACGCAGTGGAGAGGCAGTAGAACGTTGACTTTTATTGAGTGCAGTGTACATCAGTTGCAAGGTTTGAGTAAGACTTAGTGTTTAGCCAATTGACTTTCTAAAAATACGTCTATTTTGAAAGAAAAAATTTAATCTCGCAATTGTAAATGGAAAATCAGAATCACATGTCACAAATATAAAGCAACTGCTAAAATAAACTCAGAAAAAAAACTAAGTAATGTTATTAAATTCTAGCTCCACCTCTTTGCCTGCCTGGGACTCAGAGCTTGAGGCCAGCCGGCATTCTCTTTGTGAAAAGGGAAGATTAGCAAGTCTCAGAGAAGTGTTAAAGACAGAGTATAGCATCCTACTGAGGCTTTCCCTTTGAAGTAACCAGAAGGGGAATGCATCGGTTTTCACACTGTGATTCCTGGTATTTACTGTTCACCTGTATGTACCCTCCTCCCCAAGAGGAGACTCTGAGCCAGCTCCTCTGAGGAGGGCCTTCCCATCTTTCCCACTATCTATTCTGACTACCCCACCCCCAGCCCTTCACCTGACCCTGTCCCTTCTCCATGCAGTCCCAGTACATGTGCTGGAGTTGAGGGAGAGTCACCCAGCCAGTGGAGAGCAGACAGTCCGCTGTCGAGGCCGTGGCATGCCCCAGCCACAGCTCACTTGGTCTACCTGCAGTGACCTCAAGAGGTGAGTGGATACAGGGCTTCAGTCTCCCATAGGAGACTAGCAGAACCCAGTGAGAGTAATCTGGGCAGATTTCCTCTGGGCACATTGCTCCAGTCTAAAAGTCACATCTAAAAGGCAGCCCACCACCTCCATGAAGCTTTCCATGACCTAAAGTGTCCCTTTTCTCTACCTTGTCCTTTGGTCTGTGCCCCCATGACCTCATCCACCCAGTAGATCTGCTCAAGATCTACTTGATGAGGGTAGTTTCTAATATAGTGGACAGAGGCAGCCTTGAGTTCAGGTTCTGCTCTACACCTGACACACAGCCTAACTCTTCGCATGCTACTTACATCTCTGTGCCCAGTCTCCAAGTCTAACAAATGGTGGGGAATGGATTTTCCAACTTGGTATTCTGTTCTGGAGTATGAACGCCCCCTGCTGGTTGGTTAAAGTACAGCAGGAGGGACCAGGGAGGAGCCCCACCTCTTCCCTGTCGGATTCCTGCTTTTGCCCTCAGCTTTCCCGTCTGCAAGAGGGAAGGGGCTGGAAGGTAAACGAGCTGGGTTTTTTTTTTGCAGATGTCCACGAGAGCTGCCACCCACACCCCTGGGGAACAGTTCAGAGGAGGAGAGCCAGCTAGAGACCAACGTGACATACTGGGAGGAGGAGCAGGTGTTTGAGGTGGTGAGCACACTGCACCTGTACCGGGTGGATCAGCCGCTGAACGTGCGCTGCACTCTTCAAAACCTACTAAGCTCCCACTCACAGGAAATCACCGTAGTGCCACATTGTAAGTCTGCCAGCTCAGCGGCCGCTGACAACCTCTCTATCCCATCTTGGCCCCACATATTTGAGACTGCGCTCACACGCTGTCTAGTTATTTTGTTGTTGTTGTTGTTAGGTGCCATCAAGTTGGTTCTGACTCAGTGACCTTATGCAAACAGAACAAAACGCTGCGCCAACCTCATAATCGTTGCTACACTTGAGCCCACTGCTGTGTCAATCCATCTCGTTGGGGGTCTCCCTCCTTTTTACTGACCCTCCACTTTACCAAGCATGATGTCCTTTTCCAGACACTGGTCCCTCCTGATGAAATGTCCAAAGTATGAGAGATGAAGTATGGCCATCTTGCCTTCTAAGGTTGTACTTCTTCCAACACCAATTTGTTTGTTCTTCTGGCAGTCCATGGTACTTTCAATATTATTCTCCAACACTCTGACTCAAATGCATCAGTTTTCTTATGGTCTTATTTAATCATTGTCCAACTTTCACATGCATATGAGGCTGTTGAAAATACCATGGCATGGGTCAGGTGCATCTTAGTCCTCAAAATAACATCTTTGTTCTCAAACATTTCAAAGAGGTCTTGTGCATCAGATTTGCCTAATGCAATACATCATTTAATTTCTTGACTGCTGCTTCCATGAGTGTTGATGGTTGATCTGAGCAAAATGAAGTTTTTGACAACTTGGATCTTTTCTCCCTTTATTTTGATGTTATTTATTGTTCCAATGGTGAGGATTTTTGTTTTCTTTGTATTGAGATACAACCCATACGGAAGGCTGTGGTCTTTGATCTTCATAAGTAAATAGTTTTAAGTCCTCTTCATTTTCTTTTTCAGCAAGCAAGGTGGTATCATCTGCATATTGCAAGTTGTTAATGAGTCTTCCTCCAATCCTCATATCATGTTCTTCTTCATGTAATCTAGCTTCTTGGCTTCTTTGCCCAGCATACAGAAAGAATACAATGCTGGTGTAAACCTTTGCTGATTTTAAACCATTCAGTGTCCCCTTGTTCTGTTTGAACTACTGCCTCTTGATCTATGTACAGGTTCCTTATTAACACAATTAAGTGTTCCAGAATACTCATTCTCCACAATGTTGTTCATAGCTTGTCTTGACCTACACAGTCAAAAGTCTTTGTGTAGTTAATAAAGCACATTTAAACATCTTTCTGGTATTCTCTGCTTTCAGCCAAGATCCATCTGACATCAGCAATGATATCCCTCATTTCATATCCTTGTCTAAATCAGGTTTGAACCTTTGGCAGTTCTCTGTCAATGTACTGTTGCAGCCGTTTTTGAAGTATTTTTAGCAAAATTTTGCTTGCATGTGATATTAATGATATTATCCAATGATTTCCGCATTCTGTTGGGTCACCTCGCTTTGGAATGGGCACAAATATGGATCTTTTCCAATCAGTTGACCAGGTAACTGCCTTTCAAATTTCTTGGCATAGATGGGTAAGTGCCTCCAGTGCTGCATCAGTTTGTTGAAATATTTCAATTTGTATTCCATCAATTCCCGGTGCCTTGCTCTTTGTCAATGCCTTCAATGTACCTTGAACTCCCTTTGGCCCTTGATCATATACTACCTCTTGAAATGGTTGAACATCAGCCATTTCTTGTTGGTATAGTGACTCTGTATTCCTTCCATCTTCTGTTGATACTTTCTGCATCATTCAATATTTTGCCAGTAGGATCCTTCAGTATTGCAAGTTGAAGCCTAAATAAAAGGAATACCACAGGTGGATGGCTTTAGCAAACAAATGTATTCTCTCACAGTTTTGGGAGCTGCTGGTGGTGGTTGTGTGCCAAAGAGTCCATCCCCACTCATAGTGACCCCATAGGGTTTCTGAGTCTGTAAATTATTACGGGAGCAGACAGCTTCATCTTTCTCCCATGGAGCGGTTGGTAGATTAGAACTGCTGACGTTGTGGTTAGAATCACAGCTCATAATCCATTTCACTAGCAGGGCTCTGTTGGAGGCTAGAAGTCCAAGTTCAGAGAACTGACTCTGGGGACGGTCTGTGTCTCCTTCCAGGTTTTGCAGACCCAGCATTCATTGGAGATCTCCATGAGTCTTGGCATCAGTCTTTCCCTGGATCTGGGAGATCCACCTTGCAGAGATCTCAGATCCAAAGGACACACTCCACTTCCGGATCTTCTTTGTTGGTGGTAGTAGGTCCCTCTGAGCTCTGCTCACCTCTCTCTCCTTTTATATATCAAAAGAGATAGAGTCAAGATACAACCTCATCATGTAGATCGTATCTGGCCTCATTAACATAATTGTTAAGTGCCTTAGAGTTGGTTCTGACTCATAAGACTCTGTATATGGTTTCTGAGGGTGTAAATCTTTGTGGGAGCAGAAAGCCTCATCTTACTCCCATGGAATTACTGGGGGGCTCGAATGGCTGACCTTGTGGTTCAGTTTTACATTCAACAAATCATATACTTTGATTTAGTACGTGGTTGAAATCTTCTCCACATACCAACAATTAACAGCATTTACCTCTATTCACTTTAACTATTGCTTTCCTCCCTGTGTCTCCTGCTACCTTCATCTTTCCTCTGCTGACCTCCCTCTTGTTTATTGACTGCTTTGTCACCCATGTTAGCATGTGTCTACCCTCTAGCCCATGGATAATTTCTCCTCTCCCTGTCCCCCCATAACCATTATAGATTGTTTCTTTGATCAAAAACTTTTTACATTAGTCTCATTCAATATTTGTCCTTTTGTGATTGACTAATTTCACTCAGCTTAATGTCCTCCAGGTTCAACCATGTTGTGAGGTGTTTCACAGATTCAACATTATTCTTCAGTGTTTTGTAATATTCTATTGTGTGTGTACCAAAGTTTATTGAACCTTCCTTCTGTTGATGGGCATTTAGGCTGTCTCCATCTTTTTGTTATGTCTCTTGTAGACAGCGTATTGAAGGATCCTGTTTTCTTACCTATTCTGCTCTCTATGTTTCTTGACGGGTACATTTAATCCATTTACATTCAGTGTAATTATCAACAGGTATT